TATGTTTGAATCTTAGCTTTCCAATCCCAAGTTGGAGTCAGGGCCTTCAGGCAAGTTATTTCAACTCTCTAACCTCAGTTTATTCTTAAGTTCCATGAAGGCACAGACTGTCTATCCTGCCCAGCATCCAAGACGGTGCTTTTTAATGACCTGAGATTTTATAAAGAGAGGGCTATGGACTGATGCACAGTAGCTTAATAGCTAATTGTCGAATGAGTCCTAAGGATTAAATAAGAACGGTCACATAGCATGGCAAATATTTGGCAAACAGATCTACTAGATTAAGCACTCAAGTGCTTAATAAGTTAGACTTTTACTGATCTATTCATGTGACACAGAAAATGGATTGCTATCACATTTTAAAAGAAATTCCTTCTTGCTTAAGTTATAATTGTAATATTGCAACTGTCGTGATGCGAAACCACCATATTAAGGTCTAGGGACATGATAACTGAAGCCTGTTAGTGACCTTGTTTTGAAGTGCAAGTTTCAAGTTTCAGGGTTGCTCTCCTGCTAATTCAGCATATTCTCAAGGGGGTTTTCTTTTACCTCAAGTTTGATCCCAACCTCTATGTAAAGAAAAACTTTTAGCAAGTAGTTAAAAGATAATAGGACATGCTTTCCTTCCCACTTTCGCTCTCAAAATGGAACCTTATCAAACATAAAGTACGGAATGAAACAATAATTCCAAAAGGATTCTGGATTCTAATTTATAGTTAATTTATAGTATCCTTTCCACTTGCAGCTGACATTTGACCTATATTTTACATATTACACTCCAGGCAAGAACCCAGAGACATCCTCCTTATGTTCCCAAATTAGCGAAGAGAATTCATTTTGTCAATACTGCAACTGAAGTTGTGAAATCGGTCACAGGCAATTTTATTTTTTTTAAAAAAGCTCCTAATTTGGAGAATTCAGGGCACCACAACAAAGTTACTAATAATACATCTATTAATGATAATCCAAGAAAATCAGATTTGGGCATTTTTGGGAAAATAGAAGTACAGAAGAAAGTACTTTTATTGTTCTTTGAGGGTACTTTCTTCCATTTAGGTTTCTGAGGCTAAAGACTGAAATCAAAGAGGCTGCAACCTTTCACTGTGTGGCTCAGGGGAAGCCTGTGTCGGTATTAATTAAGCAAACACTCACATAGCACTCCGCATGCGCTGGACTCTGCTCCAAAGTGCCTTCCTTATAGACTTTATCCCAGTTATCCTCATAAGAACCCCATCTTACTCTGCTCCAAAGTGCCTTCCTTATAGACTTTATCCCGGTTATCCTCATAATATCTCTATCAGTTAAATGCTACTCCTGGGCCTATTTTGTAAATGAAGAAACAGGCGCAGATTACATAGTTTATAGCTAGTGAGTTGTGCAGCTGGGATTTGAGCCCAAACAGCCTAGGTCCAAAGTCTGTGCTGTTTAACAGCTCTGCTATACCATGTTTCTATGGCTGCAGAGGTGCTGATAAATTCTGGGAATGTCAGTCAGGACACTGTACTGTCTCTCCACTCCTTATTCTGTGGGTGTAAATGTTCGAGAGTGGGAAGGTTCTGGTTGCTATGTGTAACATCCTGAGGATTTGTATCCAGCCCAGGCATAACCTGTTTTTACAAATAAACCAGGTGCCAGAAATAGGATACAAATGGATAGGACCGAAATTCACAAAAATTTGGCTTGCAGAAATAGGGGCATTAATGGATTTTTCTCTAAGCAGATCAGCCCCCTTGTCAAGGGTTATCTTAAAGGGCATGTCCAGGAGCACAGGTATCTCTTTGTCAGAAAACATTTCAGGTTGCAGGTTGGAAAAATAATTTAAGTGCATAGAAAAATGGCCAGCAGAAAATGCACTGTTACCGCAAGAGAGTGAGACTTGGACATAAGAGTACAGAGATACTTTCTATTTTATATATTTCAGTAATATTCAAACCTCAGAAAAGAAAAAAGCCCATCAGTTGTGCTTTTTAAATAATTTTTTAGATGAATTAATATGGGCAGTAATATTGTATTTGTCATCCTTTTTCGCTGCTCTGTCCACCACTTAGCTACCTGGATCAGAGAGAAATTTTAGAGTAATAAAGGCTCGTGAACCCTAATTTTGACATCTAATGGGAGGACAAATCCAGTTAGATCATTCCTGTGACTGTAACTAGCATGAGTCTTGTTTAATTCAAGTGTTCAGTCTGTTTATCTTTAACGTAGTTGCTGATAGTTGGGTTTAAGTCTACCATCTTGCTATTTGTTTCTGTGACCAAAGATAAGTAAAATTTAAGTCGGAATTCATCTTGTATTTCAGCTTCAGCCCGCTCCTGGTATCAACCGTCCTAACAAGCACAGCAGGTTTCCAGGTGGCCAGAATATTGGTTTTTCATGTTACACTCTGTTGGAGGCTGAGGGTGGGAGTAGCTGGATCTCTGGCTCTACTTCAACAGCTACAATTCCACTTTGTCATATGTATGAGGGATTATGTGAGAAGATTGTATGCAAACAGGGTTTTGCAGTTACAACCCTGCAACCAACCACTAGATGGTCAGTTTCTTGTGTGATTTTAATACATACTCAAACAAGGAGATGGACCAAACTAAAGCTGATCACTCCTGAACCAGATTCTATCCAGCTCTGGATAATTTAACAGCTGAAAATAACTAAGACTTCCCTGGCATCAAGAACTAGGAGAACAGCTGAGTCTTGAAGGAGCTAAATTGGGAAAGGGCAGAGGTAATCCTGAGGAATCCCATGCAAGTCTTGACACTGTAGACAGCAAATCTAAGTTTAAAATGGGCAGCTCTCCATTCCAGGATACTTCAGCTCTAGAAACAGTACATGTTAACCAGCTCTAGAAACAGTACATGTTAACAGGAAATCACTTTCTGGATTAAGCCCTCAACCTGGATGAGTGGGTTTACCATTCTAGGTATACATGTTCAAATATTCTTGTTTTCCAGACTGAAGTGGTATTTATTACAAAGTACCCTATGCATTTTGTTATATAAGTCTAATGCAGACTAACACTACTGACCTTATTCTTTCCAGAAGAGCCTCATTCTCCTAAGGCAGGACATGCTTTCATCATATTACATTTTCCAGCCCTTTGAGCTAATGGGACCTACCAGGCAGACTAACCCAGTACGTGATTTGCCACAAGCACAGAATGGAATCAGAGGCAGGATTGACAGAGTAGTCAAAGAAAAAACTGGGCAAAAGAAGCCTGGGATGGGGAATAAAAGTTTCCAACTTCACAGACATCTCATCCCTGAACGACTGTAGAAGCCTTAGCAGTTATGGGTAAATCCCATCTCTGCCACTTACCGGCTGTGTGAATTAGGGTAAATCACTTAACTCTAAACCATTTCTAATCTGTAAAATAATCTGTACTATTTACCAGCTTTATTGGTTGTGAGAAGGAAGTGAGACACAGCAAGTGCTTGACACAGTGCTGGTTTATGGTTGCCCTCAATCACCATGGCGCTATTATTTCCCATAATGGGAAGGTGGGGGGCTATAGCAGGCCCCATATGGCTGCCGAAGTTCATTTTTAAAGGATTCCGAGGCTCGAATATTTCAAATGCTAACTAGACATGAAATTGAGAGCTGTCTGTGGTGAAATCATCCCTAATTCCTTCACTCCCTATGAGATTTGATCACAGACACCTTAGGAATGTCTTTATTCAATCTCTGCCTATTTACCAGGACTCGGTTTTAATTTGGACCTAGATTCCTGTGTGGATTATTCCAAAATCCTTCTAGGTTCTGGCCTTCCTGTCAGAATCTTTTATTTAAAATAATAAACAAAAAAACTCATAAAAATGACTTGCTCAAATTTTCTCCCAGGTCCTCCACGCCTAATGGGTGAGGTTTGAATTTCTTACCTTAGCATTCAAGGCCACTCACAGCCTGAATTAGATGGGTTTTCCGTCTTGTCACTCTCAACTCTCTAACAAATTCTTCCTGTTCTCTAACATTGGGGTTTTTCAAACCCTCACACCATCACGCTCTTCCCTCAGTCTAAAACAAATGACTTTCTTCTATCCCACAAAATCCTATTCGACCTTCAAGGCTTAGCTAAAGTCCTTTTTAATGAAGCCTACCCCAATTTCCCAAAGTTGTTTTTTCTTCCTTTAGGCTCCACATATATATCACTTAAATCTTTTTTTTTTTTTTTTTTTTGAGACAGGGCCTTCACAGGCTGCAGCCTCAAACTCCTGGGCTCAAGCATCCTCCTGCCTCAGCCTCCCAAGTACTTAGGACTACAGACGTGTGCCACCACACCTAATTTTTTAATTTTTTGTAGAAATGGGGTCTTGCTATGACCAGTTCAGGCTGGTCTTAAATTCCTGGCCTCAAGAGTCCTTGCATCTTGGCCTCCCAAAGTACTAGGATTACAGGTGTGACAGCACTCAACAGAGCATTTTATTTGTTATATCTGCCTTTCCCAGTAAGCATACTTTTCTATTTCAAACATTTTTCTATCTGCTCCACTCAGATATTATCATTGCTCAGAGTAACTGTGGTGATAACACATTTGAAAGCACTCTGTGAAACTAACATAAGGGATTACACCATTACTATACTGAAGGAGAGATGGAAAGACTACAGGTAGAAAATGATGTGGCCTCTTTCCTTTTACCAGTTCAAGGTTTGACTAGGTTTTGACCTGCTGAAGCCATTCTATGAAGGATAACCAGCTTGTTAATATGGCTTAAAATAGAGTGAGTAGTCCTCAAGCAGCCCACCCGAGTAAATCCACACATAATGAGAAACCACAAATGTGTTACATTAAAAGACTATGTATAAAAAGTTTTACTTTTTTTGTGTAATTTAATGCAAGACATCTAAAGTCTTAGATAAACAGTAAGTCGATCCTATTAGGAACAAAATATGGCACAGATTCCAGAAACAAGAACTTTTTTTTTGCATTTAGGCTTTTCAGTCACTATGCAATGATTATCGATTCGCCAAGAACAGTAACAGTCAAATACTAGAGAAAAGGAGATATCAGAAACATCTTTTATTTCTTCTAAAGAGGTGAAAATAAGTATTATATTTCTCACTCATAAGATTTTTAAACTCTTAAAAATGCAATTTTCTCTTTTCAAAGCACATGCCATCTTAAAAAAAAATTTTAGCAATGTACATTTGCACTCAAAGAAAAACATGCAGCGCCATTGTCTTCTGACAAAATTCTGCATAAAAAACCCCACATGACTTTCTGCAAATATGTTCCCTCTTTATTATTTAGGGACTCCAAACCACAAACATTCAGTGCAATATTTATTGTTTCTTATTTCCGTAGGAAACACAGGAGTAACGATGTCTTCTGACTACAACTGTTTCCTGATGGTTCAACAACAGTCTCCCTCTGCTTTATTTTAAAGTACTCTCTTTAACTTGCTGATGTAAGGTACAACTAGAATTCAGGAAAACTTGAGGATCCAAGTGGAAGATGGAGGATGGAGGAGAAATACTTAAGTTCTACCCTGTGCCATCAACTTATGAAAAAAATTTACACAGAAAAAAAATAAACCAAAAAAACCTCAGATTTTATCAATGCACCCTTTTAAAAAAGTGTTTTTTTTTTAAATTTCTGAAAGCAGCTTAATGTGAATCAAAAGCAGTTCCTGAGTAACTGCAATAAACAGTCTTTTTAAATATATATATGCATATATATACACACATACATATATATATATATTTGCAACTTAGCTCATTTTGGTTCTGCCTTAATTTACCTCCCTAGTATTTAGTTGAATCACAGTCTTTTCCTTCCTTTCAGTTCCCGATGTGCAAGTACAATAGCATCAGCTCTGGGAGTTGGCATGGTGCAGATGTTTCCTTCCACGCCTGTGTGGTCATCTGCATGTCTGTCAGGCCAGGTTTCCAGAGTTGCTGCAGGTCTTAGCTCTTTCAATCTTACAAAACCTGTGAGCGCCATAACCACTTCACGTCTTCTTCATCAAGCGCCGTGACTGCCAGGTGTGGAGCTTGTTGTAGGCCGTCTGGAGCATCTCTTCTATGTGACTTACCAACTAAGAAACAAAGCAAGACACTTAACACCTGGGCAAAGGCAAGGGAAGTTAATGCTGCTGACCCAAATCTGGCAAATACTTCAGAGTGTAGTTTCCAAACTCATCTGTATTTCCCCAGTCAATGAGGCCACATGCATGCCCTCTGCAAAGGTGTCATCAGACACATTTTGTATGGAAAGGCAAGAAAGATGTTAGGGTGCAGTGAAGAGGCTGGACATTTTACCTGCTTTTTCTGGGCTATAGTGTCTGCCCTGTCATTAACCAACAATACAACAACATCAAAGTCATGACTGTGCTCTAGACCTCAGTTTCTTCTGTCAAATGAGGGGGCTGACCTAAATTGGTGATTTTTAAATTTAAACACTGGTCTGCTAAGGTCAAGATGGTGGTATCAACATCTTTACAGAAAATTTGAAAAATGCCTCACACCCCCAACCCTACTCCCCTAAAGATTCTGATTCAGTAGACCTGGAATGAGACGCAGGAATCTCTGATTTTCAAAAGCTTCTGCAGTTAATTCTGTACAATTTTGTGAAGCACTTTTCTATTTTACTCCATCATTTCAGTATTTCAATATAACTCAGTATACTGAAAATCAGTAGATTATAGAAAACCCAAATGGTTTCAGTACTTTCCATAATGTGCTATATTACATTTTGGGTTAGGACTATAGATCTTTTTTTTTTTCTTGAGACAGGGTCTTGCTCTGTTGCCTGGGCTAGAGTGCAGTGGTGCCATCATAGCTCACTGCAACCTCCAATTCTTGGGCTCAAGCAATCCTCCTGCCTTAGCCTCCCAAGTACCTGGGACTACAGGCGCATGCCATCATACCCGGCTAATTTTTTTTCTATTTTAGTAGAGACAAGGGTCTCACTCTTGCTCAGGCTGGTCTCAAACTCTTGACCTCAAGTGATCCTCTCACCTCCCACCTCCCAGAGTGCTAGGATTACAGACATGAGCCACTGTAACCGGACAGGACTATAGATCTTTAAATGGATAAGAATTTTGCCCTCATCATTGATATAACTAGACATCAACAAGATCACAGCGCCTTATTTTTTTTTAAGGGACAGGGTCTCACTATGTTGCTCAGGTTGGAGTGCTGTGCTACAGCCTCAAACTCCTTGACTCAAGCAATCCTCCTGCCTCAGCCTCTCAAGTAGCTGGGACTATAGGTGTAGTCCCATACTCAGCTCACCTTGAATCGTGAGGTAGAAGTCTTTGGGATATGCTTCCTTGGAGATGGACAGTATTTATGTGGCTGGAAATAAAGCCTTGTAGTCTGCAAGTCAATTCTGGGAGAACAGTGATGAAGATCAGGAAGTCCTAAATTCTTTTAGGATGTCAATGACTTGAATCCAAGAGGTACAGAGTCAAAAAAAAAAAAAAAAAATCCCCCTATTTGTCACACCTGTTATTACTGGGAATAAGGGAGACACCTGTAGTTTTTTTTTTTTATTGGCTCTGTCTGAAAACTCTACTGATCCTGCTTGATGGGCAGCAGTGGCTCTATAGTACCAATGAGAAGAGATGGGCCGGTCGAGGTGGCTCATACCTGTAATCCTAGCACTCTGGCAGGCGGAGGTGAGAGAATACTTCAAGTCAGGAGTTCAAGACTAGCCTGAGCAAGAGTGAGACCTTGTCTCTACCAAAAACAGAAAAAATTAGCCAAGTGTGGTGGTGTGTACCTGCAGTCCCTGTTTGGAGGCTGAGGCAGGAGGACTGCTTGAGTCCAGGAATTGGAGGTTGCACCGAGCTATGATCACATACCATTGCATTCTACTTGGGGCAACTGAGTAAGACTCTGTTACCAAAAAAAAAAAAAAAAAAAAAATAAATCGATAGATAAATAAATAAAAATAAAAT